CAATATCGAACCAGGCGAAATTCAAAATACAGCATGGACAAGTGGAAATTTATAGCTAAGGAGCAGGGAGGAAGTCGGTGGATAGAAAATTACTAAGGAGAAACAACAGGTATAAGGAAGGTTCTGGCTAAAAATGACCTAACCAGATACTTCTAAGGACAGGCCAGGGTGATCAGATGTCATGGGATGGTAGAGGATGAGGGACCTGATCAGGTATCCAGGACGATCAGACATTGAGGGCGGGTCTGGTTAAACTTGAGTTAGCAGCATTCTTACTAAAACTAGATTTTACAAGGAAGTTCACAGATGAGCCTAGGAGAAGTTTCAGGAGCCTGACTGAAGTTTGTTCAAGCAAAAAAAATATCAGAACCTTTTCTGCTCCTCAAGTCAGAACAAGGAGATTCTCCTGGAGATGCTCCTGGAGCCCTGACTTTTGTATCCCCTGACACTTACTGCCAGGTTTCTTGTACACTGAGCTTAGATCAAGAAATACTGATGAAGAAGAAAAAAAATAGTAAACTCAGTCCTAATTTGGTGACACTTCACATCACCATCTTCTTCTCCAGTCTGCTTTCTACTGTTTATTTTCAGATTCCAGAAGTAGCTGCTATGTGTCCAGGGTTCATAGGTATAGTCATTGGGAGACATGGGGGCGGAGGCACATTTAATTAATCATCCAACTTCAACTGTTTACCCTTCAAATTAATTTTAATTTATACTCCTGATCTCTGTGAAGGTCTCCATTCAGACACTGCTGATGGGATTGGCAAAACTCTAACCTTGACTCCATTTAAGCTAGTAAGATTATCTCTCCAAGTATTTACCCCCTCTCTCAAAATAGCTCACTTACAAACAAATCAATGTTAAGGAGACATTATGAGAGAAGCCTAAGGAAAATTTTTATAACCCATTATATAGGCATCACTATTACAGATTGCATATTAAGCCCTATCTATTATCACTGATACAGTTTATTTTACACAATATACTGTGTTTATGATTGTTATCAGTGTTTATTTGATGACCGACCACACTACACATAACACAACATGACATGCAATTCCATGGGTTGGATTTTTTTTAAGAATAAGGTGATAGGATCCAAATTCATTTATTCTTTCAACAATTTTTTAATAAACAGCTACCATCTGCCTTTTACTATGCTAAATTCTATGAGGTGTACAAAAATAATTTAGCAAGGTTAAGGTCAGGGCAAATTTTTACTTACATCCCTCCTTGGATGTCATAGTTGCAAATGTCCAAAATTTCACATGCAACATCATAAAACCCTCACAAGGCGACATGTGACAGGCATCAGAAGAGTAACAGAGAGTTCAACAGGATCAGAAAAAAGAAATGAGTTTCAGGGTCAGGCTGCCAGGGGGCTGTACGCTGGAACACACTTGTGACAATGGGAACATTATTCATAACCTTAGATCTTTGAAATACCGTAAAAAATATTAACTATCTTTCACGATCGTTGTATGGGTTGAGTAGGTAAGATGATGTGTTACCACTGACTGGGATAGAGAAGGCACACAATAAATTATAGATCTATGGAATAAGAAACAATTAAAACTCGTCATAATTAACACAGGTAATTATAAATTAAAGACAATCTTTTTGGATGATGTTGGCAAATAATGTTCGCGAAAGCTTCGAACGCATACTGAAATGCCGGCGCTAACCATGTTTGAGTTCTGAATGTCACGATCTCTCAGAACGCCTTCCTGTTATTCTTTTTTTTAGATAAGAACTCCCGTTCTGCTATGTGCCGGCACGCGAGTGTCGGCAGCAATGGAAATGATCCAGACCTTCTCGGAGGAAGCTGCGAGCTTAGCCAACAAAGTTAAAACGTATTCAGACTACCAGGATTGTTTTGAGGACGCACAGTCTCATATGCATTCTTTTAACGTGGAGGAGATTACACAGATCGTGCTTTCGGAGATCTCCGACATCGAATATGACTTAACCTTGAGGAAATTATTGTGGGACGCGCAGGAGGAGTGGGGGGCGCTCTTCCAGGAATGGCGGAAGCGTACTCTTCACAGTATTGACATAGAGCTGGTACAGAGAAACGTTTCAAACTGGATGAACATAATCTTCGTACTAGAAAAAGGTAAGAGTTTCGTTCTCAAGTCTTTCCACCAAGGATTACACACAAAATGGCCTCTGGGCCAGCGAGACCAGTGTCTTTGACCTGATTGCTTTACCCATTTCAAGGGGCGACCATTAATGGCTGGAGAAACAGTGCAGGGGTGTAGATAGAATCGTTTCCTGAAGCAAGAAAGAGATGAAAACTTTGTCCCTAAATTTTTTTCTTAAGTAATTAACGACAATTTTTGTATCCTTTAAAAGTGGGGTAAAACCCCAGACACTTCATCATGATTCTGGGTCTTCTTAGGCTAGAGATGTTTTGATATTAAGGGCCTACCTGCAAGATCTCCACCCGGATCCTCACCGTGGATGCCTGCAGCATCCTTTGGGCTGTTGGGGAACAGCTAAAAAAGTCATTCTGAGAGCTTTCCTTTCTGCTAATCATCAAATTTGAAATCTTCTCAACACAGAGATGCCATTTCTGTGTGAGCAGTTCTGTAAGATCATATCCTTTCCAAAAGGAACGTTTTATTTCACTTGGCAAGAGAATGTTTTTGCTTTTTAAATTCCTCCCTTATCTCTCGGCTATACTTCAAGCTATGATCTCCTCTCCAGAAAAATACTTTAATTTGCTTGTTTTCAAATTATACAAGAAATATAACCATATCGCAGAAAGAGAAAAATCGTGAGCAAATCGCCTATAGTCTCACTGCTTTAACGGAACTCATTTTGTGCATTCTCTCTCAATATTTTGTCATGTATCTGTTTCAGAGAACAATATATAAGTAACAAGTATACAACACCTTTTTTCTATCCGTAGCTTCTCAGATAAAATCTTGCTGGTTGCGGACATATAATTCTTTTGTCCTTTTATTTAACCAGGTCTTGAAAAACATTTTGTTATTCTACATGGCTTTATTTTTAAAAACCCCATTGTACAAAATTGGACATTTAAGAACACGGGCATAGTGTTCAGTTGTCCCGAGTCCCCAATTTTGGCTATATCTCTGCCTCTTCCCCCTTTTTGTAAAATGTCGAGTAAAAAGGTTATAAGTATTGAAACTTCAGCTGCATAGGTTTTGAGTCTCGTACCTCTGGTTTGTCAGTGCCAGAGGACAGACCAGTGCTGGTCCATGGCAGAGTTTTTAATCTATATTTCCTACAGTTCAGTGTTAAAATATTTTCCTTGTGAAATAATATGATGGAATTTTTCCTTTGATGTTCTTCCTTACTGGGCAGCATTTAAAAGCCCCAAACCTGTAACAGTCATTCGAATGCACATATGTGTAGCTGTTGGTGTATCTGTCTTGTCAGTGGCAATCCGAGGCACCCTCTGGTAGCTAGCTATCCCCAGTATCAAATTTTCCAAGATAACTTAGCTCCGATGGTCTCAGGTCTTAATCTCCAGTCCTGATCACTATTTCTCTTTATTTTCATCTGTAGTTGATTCTTTCGGAAGGGTGATATTAATAAAATTTATTATTTTAGTGCAGACTAATAACTGATCAGCTAGTATTACATTAGGTAGTAATTTTATTTCCTGGCTTAAAAATATGATGGACTTATCTCATCGGTGAGCCTACTGACCCATTGCTATTTACAGGTTTACCCAGAAACAACATGGTAACACATCTCAGGCAATCAGTGACAGATTTTAAACAAGAGCTGCCCATCATCATAGCTCTGGGCAACCCTTGTCTCAAGCCAAGGCACTGGGAGGCTCTCCAGGAGATTATAGGAAAGTCAGTTTCTCTGGATAAAAACTGTACAGTTGAGGATCTTCTAGAGCTTAAGGTAAGTAAAAATCGTTTTAAAAAGATAGGTTGAAACACCAGTGGCATCAACTTTCAGTGGGCAACTATAAATCTATAAGGAACAGGAATTAGAAAAGGGAGACATTCATAGAATGTCTGGGGAGGTGGGAGTATATTAGCAGGTGATAGGTGACAGGAAATTATGTTTAGTTGGCCATATTGGTTAAGCTATTTATTGTGCCATTATTATCTAGATGATTAGAGAACAGCAATACTGGTTTTTATGTGTAGCAAATGAAATTAGCGTTTTATATTTAACAGTGCTGCTTATAGAGAATACATTTTATAGAAATAGAAAAATCCAAACTATACTCCATTTTAGACAAAATGAAAACTATGAAGAGCTTCTTAGGATAACCCTACCAATGAGTCAATATTATATTTTAAATACACAATTAGCAACTATTTGATTTGCCACATAGGTTTTGTTTTAAAAATGGAATTTTTCTGTTATTTAAAATTTTTTTCTTTTTTCATGCTTGGCTTAAAATAAGCTTCATTTATGTTTCATGTTTCAGCATTGACAGTGTCTAATAACGGTATTTTATACCTATAATTTTCTACTAAATTTTCTGTTGTGATGAAGAAATGAGGGGAAATTATAAGAATTTAAAAAGAACTTTAAAAGACAACTTTAATTGTTTTTCAAAATTAGATTATTTTATATCTCCAGTCTTAACCTCAACCTTTCTCCCGAACTCATGTATCTAATTCCTTAATCACTATCTCCACTTGTGTGTCTAAGAGATATCGCAAAATTAATGTCCAGAAATGCACTTCTCATTCTTCATTTCCCAAATCCTATTCTTCCTCTCTCTTTCCCATCTTAGTTAATGGCATCTCCATTTTTGTCTGTTTGTTTTTTTTTAAGCTAAAAATCATGAAATAATCTTTGAATCTTCTCTTATTCTTTTACTCCTCATCCATCTAACTCTCTCATGCTTTCCTGGATCTTTCCCAGAGTCTCCTAACTGATCTATGTGCCACAAGTGAATTCAGCAAAATATCTAGATAATTTCAGAACATATAGGTCAATGCCAACAGTTAAGTCTATTCAAACCAGCATTTCAGAAATCTAGCACAATTTCAATGATATTTTCATTGTCTAAGTCTTAGATTGTTGGAACCATTTTTAGGCAAGTCAGATAAAGGATGAAATTTGGCAGGCTAAGTGTCGCAGCAAGCAATGGAAATCAGGGTCAACAGGCCCATAGGGGGTCAGCTTGTGGCCTGCATTGGGTCGATGATCTCAAAGGGTTCCAGTGAGCTATCCTTCCATTTCTCAAATGAGCAGACAGTTTAAAGTGGAAGTCCCACACGGTTTTTGGAGGATCCAAATTAAAATAATTCAACATCTGAACAAAAGTGAAGGTCTTCAGCCTCTGAAATACTTTAACCAAGAGTCAAAAGAGCCCCTTCTTCTCGAGGTTAGTCGTAATGGCAGAGGAGATGAGCGGACAATCAGCTGGTCATCCGAAGTGAGCTCTGAAAACTCCCGGATGATTCTGATCATCCTGTAGAAATTCAACAACAACTAATCCAGATAACACAAGTGCCTAGATGAACAGGATCTGGCCCAGAAAGTCAGCCTTCATTTAGTAAAACACGTACATCTTGGGGCTGACCCAGAAATGGTAGTCATGATGCAAGACTGTCTAGAACAGGCTGTGATAGGTTCATTTGTGATCTTATCAAATGAATAAATTATGGATTCTGCCCAAGATGTTTTGCAGGCTCTGAAAAGCTCGTGATGTGAAAAGTATGTCACAGAGTAAAGAGGAAGAGGTCAATGGTATGCATAAGATGAACACAATTACTTTATGGTTGACCGTTTTCACTTTAGAAAGCCATGTGCTTTATAATAGAGGCAGATAATTATTACAGGCATTAAGATTTCATCTGAAACTTCCCAGATTATTACCAAGTCGATTGGGAGGTCTGAGCATTTGGTGGTCTAGTCCCAACTTTGACAATAAAGGGCTAGGTCCACTTGGTTGAAATTTTGCTTTAGACATTCCCAGTGTCTGGATTTAGTACTTAGCAATTTCAGAATATGGGCATGAGGCACAAAGTTCTTTCTTCAGCATAGAAACTTGATGATCCTATGGTTCTTTCTCTGCTTCAGGCTGAATAATCTGTGTCAAAGTAAAGGCTTTGATAAAGCTGTTATTTAAGACCTTAAACTGTCAACTGATTTCACCATAGTCACACCCATCTTTGGCAGACCCATAAGAGAGATGATGACAAAAACTAGTCATATTTGTTCAGAGTCCCCACTGAGCTGCATTAACAAAACGTAGGGATTAGACGTCACTCTTTAGCCCCATGAAAATGCATATGGCAACAGTGGTAGATTCTTCTTTCAGGATAAAAACAGTCAGCCCAGCTGGTTAATTCTAAGATGTGGAGATGGGAAGCTCTCTGAGTATCTCTATTATGGCGAGTGAATCTGGAGATCTTATATTAAGATCTTGTCCTATGGGAATGGGCAGTCTGCACACATGGAAAAAAAGACCTATATAGACTTCACTAATGAATTTTGAGAAACACTTATCCTTATCGAGGTATGGCAAAGAACGAGAAGCCAGGGAGAGGTGAGTCCATTAGAGTTACATTCTCTCGGATGATTATGTCCCAAGAATTATTATAGAGAGTAAAAGCATGTCATAAAGTATCTAAGCAGTTGACATTAGTGCAGAGGAAACAAAGCCGAAGGATACAATATCTGTATATACACAGAAGGTGCTGTTAACTGTTCTTTACACTGACTAGAATCAGAGAAAATAAACGTTGTGTTTAGAAATTTTCACTGAGCATGAAGAATATGAAAAAGTTAGGATGATTAAAAACGAAAAAGAGCTGAGTCGTGAAGGTCAGGCCGTGAAGTCTCTGGTTAGGACATCAACCTAACTGGGATTGGATCTTCAGTACTTCTGACGCATCTTCAACACGTTCATTTAAATCTTCCAGTTTGGATGTATCGGGAATTATTGGCCCCATTGGACATTAAATAATAATTTTTTTCATTTTAGATGTTTCAGCACGAAAGTCAAATAAATGAAATATCGACCTCAGCAACTAAAGAAACTGCGCTTGAAAAAATGCTCTTTAAGATTATTGAACTTTGGAACACGACTCCTTTACATTTAGTTCCTCACCACACAGAGACTTCCTCTGTCCTAATCATTTCATCTCTAGATGACATACTAGCTCAGCTAGAGGAGTCTCAGATCATACTTGCAACAGTTAAAGGATCTTCCTATATCGGGCCCATTAAGGTAAATACAATGGCAAAGGGAAAATGTTTTCGTTTCCTCTAGTTTTATTTATTACTTTAAGTTTTTCATTCTGCAAACTTTGGAGTTATATAAACCATTCATATACGTATATAGAAATGAGGTGGAATATTTGGTAGTTCAAATACTCGGAGTAAGTTTTACGGAAACATTATTAACTGTTCATGAGGAACTGTCAGGAAGTTTAACCTGGGCAGACGAGATAAATCCAGATAATATAAAGATATGACCCTGCGAGCCATGACTGTTACCAGTCGTGCCACAGCTTCTACAAATCCCCACGGTGCTGGCAGTGCCCGTGCCAAAACAATTGCCTTGAGTTTCTGCCGGCAGCAGTGGGATGCTTCATTTTTTATTTCCCGTGCCATTGCTCTTAAGGGTGAATCCTACCTCTATTCCTGTGTGCTCCTGCACTTATTTCTAGAACAAACAGCAGGCTCCACATCTATTCTAGTCTCATTAGGAATGAAACCATATGGTCGGCTTTTGTTCAGTGCTCTCTGATGGTGTGTTTTCATCATCGTAGGCTCTTGTGGATAAATGGGATCAAAACTTGACTCTCTTCTCTCGCACTCTTGAGGAATGGATGAACTGTCAAAGAACTTGGCTTTATCTTGAACCGATATTTAATTCTTTAGAAATACAAAGGTAAACACTCAAAACATGCCATATACAGGTTTAAAAAAAGCACGGTGGGTAATGTATTTCCTGTAATCCTTGAGAAATCAGTTTTTAATGAGAGCTCTAAAACAATCCTACCTATAAGCATAGAGTATAATCTGCTGCGTCATTATTATGTTTTTGATTTCATAAAAGATTGAAATAAAAGTCTTATTTCTCAATTATGGATATAAAGCTGTTAAGGACTGGGAAAGAATATCAGAGACATTATTATAATCCTAAAGCTACAATACTGTGTGTATTTAGTGCCAGAATATTAGTGTAGATTTGATCTGAACAATACAAATGCTTTTAATAGCATTCAGGCATAAATGATAGCTTCTTACTTTGGACCATGTGAAAGAACAGAGAGTCTAGACAATTGTTGAAAATTCTACCCTTTCTTTTTATTCATAGTGTTCAAATCAATTGGTCTCTTTCTAAAGTATTTGGTCTTAGAGTATTTAATTTAAGACGTAGGTATTAACTGGAAGAATTTAATCTACTGACAATAAATCACACAGGCTAGTCTAGAAGCCATTCTGAAATAAGGTAGGAAGTCATAGGGTGTGTATCTGTAAGGTATTAGAACATCTGATAGAAAACCTTGAATATCAGGTTAAGTGTTTTCAATTTCATTTTAGAGGCGAGAGGTTTACAAAAGAGAACTGTTTAGGTATAAGTATTGTTTTGTAAGAAAGAGTATCTGTTTTTGTTATACATTTCTATTTCTTATGATGTGAATGCTTTAGATTTATATTTCTTGTCATATAAATGCTTTAGATTCTTCCATTAATCTATACTTATTCCGATAGTCTTCATGGGTGAAACTACATAACTAAGGGATGTATTCTTTATGGTTACAACAACTTTTTACTAAAGATTTCTTAACCAAAGGAGAAATAAGACTCCTAAGTAAGGGAGTTTAAAATGTCACTTACTTGTTCTTTTACAAGATTTGCTCGGAGGTTGAAAATGGGGCTTTTAATTAAAGACCGAAGGCTCCGGTACAATAGTTGTAAAGAAAAGAAAAAAACTGGGTTCGTAATGGACCTGTCTTTGACTAATGGAGAAGGATGATGGGCCCTGATACCGAGGGGGAAATGAGAAAAAGAAGAAAGGGAAGAAAGAAGCATGGGAGGGCAGAATTGTCTAAGGGAATTTGTGAGAGTAGAAGATGCTGTGCCATTTACCCTCACTCCGGACTAACTGCGAGTTGTACTGTCACCTTCCCGAGACAGAAGGGGAGCTTGAAGTATCCTTTCTGATGGGATTTTTACTGAGCTGTAGAAAATTATCCCAAGATGGGGACTGGGATAATGGGAGGCTCTTAGAAGAGCTTGACATATATCGCCCTGGAATTTGGGGCATTAGAAACTAGGACTTGCCTCTTCTCTGGAGAAGTTTGAAGCAGCCTTTAATAGGAAAGCGAAGAAATGCAAGAATACAGGGTTATTGTAGACGCCTGGTCCTCTACCAGAGGTGATTTTGCCCTCTAGGGGACATTTGGCAATGTCCGCAGACCCCTTTGTCTGTCCCAACTGGCATGGTTGGGGGTGGGGAGAGATACTACTAGCATCTAGTGAATAGAGAATGTTATACATCCTACAGTACACAGGAAAGCACCACGCCCCCACAACAAAGACTTGTCTGGCCCCAAATGTTAACAGTGTTCAAGTTGAGAAATCTTGACTTAGACCACGGAGACACAGCAGAAGTTTACATCTTGACAGATCTCCACTCAAAATGGACACGACCAGAGCAAGGGAATGCCAGGGGTACACTGTGTAAGGCAATGATAAGGCGTGCTTGTAAGAGGTCAGCTGGAGAAAGCCAGGGACCGACGCGGTGTAGAAGTTTCTGTTGGGGGACTCGAGATCTCGGCAATATACCCCATGGGTAACTGTTCTGACATTCAAGGGCATTTAAGAGGCAAAAGAGAATTAAAAGTAATGCCAGCTGAATTAAAAACAAAGAGCTTTGCCTCTAATTTCTTCTCTACCTTAACCTCCAAGTCGTAAGGAGCTTGCTATCAGGTCGGGACTCGGGTGGGACGGGAGTGGGAAACACAGGTGAGCAGAGAGTGGCAGAGAGCTAGATTGTGCAGCCTTTGAAAATACTGCCCTCGTTCACCTTCAACAAGAGCGGAAACAAAAGTTACTATATCAGTGGATTACCACGCCAGGCGTAGGTTTGCTTCCTTTTTTAAGGGGAGAAAAGAATGATAATATTCTGTAAAGGAAAATTTTTATACTTAGGCCGAACCTGCTTTACATTTCCTTATCCTCTAAGATGAGATAATTACTAATGGAACTTGAATCTTATCGTAAACACCTCTGCACTCTCGCTCCTGGGCCAGGCGCCCTCTGTGATTCTCTCCATGTGGGAGAGCTGTGTCTCCTTTAACACCCAGGTCAAACAGCTTCTTCTGCAAGAAACTCTGCCCAGATGCCGCTTCTCTAGAATTTCGGTAGCCCTTTCTTTTATAACATTTCACTTCTACTTACTTGCTATAGAACTTGTTTGTATCCATCGTGTACCTCCTCACTAAGTGATGGATGTATATCTGATTCCTTCTAGTATTTCCTACAATTCGCATCACTTGTACACAATAGGCACTAAAAATATCTTTAATTAATGACTGATCAGCAAAAATGTAACATAGCAAACCATTTTGTAAATTGAGCAATTTAGACTATGGATTTTAATTACACCTTCAAAAAATAAGATCATCTCTAATTTTCTTCCTAAAGGCAGCTCCCAGCAGAAGCAAAACTCTTCTCTCATGTGATTTCTCTGTGGAAAGAAATAATGTTAAAACTACAAAACAAACTGGATGCTTTGCAGATAGCCACCTCTGCAGGAGTCCTTGAAATTCTGCAAAATTGCAATACACATCTTGAATATATAAAGAAAAGTCTTGAGGTAAAACAATAGCAGTCCTGAAGTGGAGAATTATTTAACCTTCAAAATGCCACGCATGCAGATTGTCTTCTCTACCATAGCTACCAACGCTATTACAAACTCTCACCATCTATAGGGTTAATGACAATACTATCCAAAGGGAGAAAAAGTGGATGGACCAAAATGACTTTAGGCAAAGTATCAAATTTTTAAGTGCCTGGGTTTCCTTATCTTTAAGTTGGAGTAATAACAGTGCCTACCTTGAGGGGCTTTGTGCCAAATGAGATAATGCATTTAAAGCAGGAGAGCTGGCACAAAGAAAGTACTTAATGACTGTTATTTAGATTAGCACGACTATTATTATTAAGATATAAAATCAGCAAAAGTTGAATATTTTGATGATTTTATAAATTATTGATTCATGTGTTTTACATTGCCAGAATGTTACATTGTCAGATAGACAATATCTATCTTTACATACTGATTTTTAATATTCGAGATTTTAATATTTGTGAACATACTCGCTTCACTTCATAAACCAAGATATCTCCTAGACATTCGTCTTTTTTCCTTGTTGAACACAAGCCTCAGTGGTTGTGATGACTCCCGCACACGTGGCAGTTACGGCCTGCGGAAGTTCTCTGCCCAGGAAGACCCTCTGCTGTATACATCTGTGATCTGGAGCAGTCATAAGGGGCTGCACCCAGAGTGATCTGGTTGCTAATAACCAGTTTACCAAGCGATCATTGAGATAAGCTTTCTAATTATTTCTAGCATATCCTTGGATGACTACTAAGCATCATTACCAACCAGTAACTTTCCACTCATTCAGGTATTGAGCGCCTACGTTATAGCAGGCACTGCTGCTAGATGCTGGGACTACAAAGATAAAAGATGTATCCCTTACTATTATAGAACTCAAAAACTATTACAGGCAACAAGAGAGGCATAGAGATCTCACAGTGAGATGCACTGTATGATAGGTTGGCTGGTATGGCCAAATTAAAGATGAAAGATTAATCCAGCCTGGGACAAGTGATAAGTGACCTAGGTCTTGAAAGAAATACATGGATTAGCCAGGTAAAAGTCCGGATGT